GGATTTCCCTGATGCCGAGCGATGTTGAGCACTTTTTCATGTGTCTGTTGGCCATTTGGATGTCTTCTTTGGAAAAATGTCTGTTCATGTCTTCTACCCATTTCTTGATTGGATTCTTTGTTCTTTGGGATAATCACTCTACTTGTAAGTGGTCTTGGGAAGTAAATTAATCTCTATTAAGGCTGACCTTTCCTATCTGTATAGTGAGGATAAATAATATTTAACTCACAAAGTAAGAATGAAATAAAAATAAAGTATACAAAGTTTCTAACACAGTGAAGGGCATTTAATATCAGTTATTATTATTATTAGGCAAATTGGGGCAAAGTGATGAGCATCCTCATTTGTCAGGGGAAAGAATTTGAATTTTATTTTGTGGGCAATAAAGAACCATGGAAGAATTCTGAGCATGAGTGTGAGGTGATAAGCTCTGTTATTTGGAAAGGTGAATATGGAGGAATGAATAGATGAAGGAAGGCATCTAGCATTGCATCCCGATGAAAGATGAGAAGGGCATAATGGGGCATTGATAGTGTGGCTACAACTCAGTGTTACAGAGCTAGAATTGATAGAACTTAGCTCCTCATTAGATAAACGTGAGGATGGGCAGTAAGAAAGGAAGGAATAAAAAATGACACAGTTTCTAGCCTGAGCACCTGAGTTGCCAGTAATACCAACCTTTGAACCAGACAAGAGATGGAGTAAATATATAGAAGTATATTGAAATTCAGGTGTCGAATTCAGTTTGTTTTCTATCATTTTCCTTTTGATCCAACACCTCTCTAGAGTGAGTGAGCTTTGAAGATTTGAATATTGAAATCCAGTCTCTAATCCCAGCAATCTCTTTATTCTATGGGACTGCTATATTTGAGCAGTATGTTGGCTTATTACAAAAGCTGTCATTGTGATCTTTTGGAGTGTGCTTCTATAGTTTGTCTAATATATGAGAAAGGTTAGTGCTACCAAGTCAAAATACCAAACACTATCAAAACAACTTAATATGGTAGCCAAATGTGGATATGTAGTTTGCACGATTGTATTCCCCAAAACATTGTTTGCTTTAAGCATAGTTGAAAGTAAATGTAAATATACACGTTTTACTCAACACCAATCTTTGTGTGTGCGTGTTTATTGTTTTCATGTGCAGGACAGGAGAGAATTGGAAAAGATTCCAACTATGAACAGGAAGGTAAAGTTCAGTTTGTTATTGATGCAGTCTATGCGATGGCTCATGCCCTCCATCATATGAACAAAGATCTCTGTGCTGACTACCGAGGCGTCTGTCCAGAGATGGAGCAAGCTGGGGGCAAGAAGTTGTTGAAGTATATCCGCAACGTTAATTTTAATGGTGAGTCTCCAAGTATCTATGATTACACACATTCCTGTTAGAAATTGTTTACCTAAAAGGGGTAGTTAGAGATGGGTGAAAAAAATGGGCAAAGTGGGTAGGAGGCATAAAGGAGAAATACCACTTCTCTGATAATATCTTTGATACAGTATTGACTCTTACAACATTTGAACACTTCAGGTATCAAAAACTAAACAGTTAAAATAAACCTGAATGTGGGTTGCATTAGTCAGAGTTTTCCAGAGAGATAGAACCCATAGGATATATATGGATATTTAGAAGAGATTAATTTACAGGAATTGGCTCAGACAGTTATGGAGAGAGGGAAGTCCCACTACTTTCAGTCTGCAAGCTGGAGAACCAGGGAAGTTGGTATTGTAATTCAGTCCCAGTATAAACACCTAAGAATTGGAGGACTTGTGGTGTAAGTCCTGATCTGAGTCCAAAAGCCTGACAATTGGGAGTACCAGTATCTGAGGGCACTAGAAGGCACCTATTTCAGCTCAAGTAGAGACAGTGAATTGGCCCTTCCTCTGCCTTTCCACTCTACTCAGGCCCTTCAGAGACTGAATGATGCCCCCCAACCTTGGGGAGGGCCACCTGCTTTATTCAGTTTACCAATTAGAATACTAATCTTTTTCAGGTACACCCTCACAGACACACCCAGAAATAATATTTTACTGGCTATCTTGGCATCTCTAGTCAAGGCAACACAGAAAATTAACCATCACATAGGTATAACACAAAATTCAATATAGACAGTAATAAATAAATTTAACTGTATTACAAATGATGAATGTAACCATGCTGAGTGGTTTGAGGAATAAAAAACGAGCACAAGTAGTTTTAGAAGACAATTTGACTATATGCTACATAAGACTAAAGACAAAAATAACTGTACACAATTACTGTACAATAGCTAATAAACTTTTGTGGGTTCACAATTATGAAAATAATTTATGTATGTAAGAGGACTCAGAGAATAATGAAGTATATTGTGGATAATGAGAGCCAGGTTTCTTACTGTCAGAGAAAGAAGTTACTCATAAGAATGAGAGAAAGCTAGAAGGAACCTTGTGTTGTGTTTGGATAGGAGATACCTGCATGAACTCATAACTTTGCTTTTTTTTCCCAAGAGTTATTTATTTTGAGAGAGAGAGTACTTGAGCAAGGTGGGGGGCGATGGGGGAATGCACGGGGCAGAGGGAGAGAATCCTCAAGTAGACTCCCTGCTAAGCATGGAACCCAACATGGGACTCCATCCCAGGAATCTGAGAACATGACCTGAGCTGAAATCAAGTCAGATGCTCAACTGACTGAGCTACCCAGGTGCACCAGAACTCATAGCTTTTAATATGCATGCAGATAAATAGATACAGAAATAGATGTGTAGGGAGCCTGGGTGGCTCAGTTGGTTAAGCGACTGCCTTCGGCTCAGGTCATGGTCCTGGAGTCCCAGGATCGAGTCCCGCACCAGGCTCCCTGCTGAGCAGGGAGTCTGCTTCTCTCTCTGACCCTCCCCCCTCTCATGCTCTCTATCTCATTCTCTCTCTCAAATAAATAAATAAAATCTAAAAAAAAGAAAAGAAATAGATGTGTATATGTTATATATGTATACATACCTGTGTTGCCTAGTTCTGGCCACTGAGAGGGCTAGGAGCAATGACACCCTGGTAGAAAAGATGACACCTAGCACCCACATCTTACTTATATATACATTCTCCAGAAAAAAAAAGGGGGGGGGGCTCTCTAGAATAACTGTAGATTCAAGGGCCAGGGCAGCAAAAATACAAGATGAGTTTGAAGCATCATGTTGTGTCAGAAAGTAAGAGTGCTCAAAAGCTGATGGGGTCATGTTGAAAGAGCCCAAGAGCCAGCTTGAAGGAGACCACACTTGCCAATTTGAGGGCAATAATGAATTAAACTTACAGAATGAAACAAACGTCAATGAGTCCATACTGATATAAATAAATAATTGAATTGAATGCATAAATGCAGAAGAAGAAGTATAATGTAATGACAGATGGCAGTACAAAATCACCATTTTGCAAGGACCCTCTAATAGTTGTTCCAGGCAGTAATCATTAGTGGATACTAAAATTATTGGGATAAAGTATGATCAGAAACAAGGTATCTGCACGGTCTCAAAATACCTTCCATCAAGAAATATTAATAACAAAGGGGAAAAGAATAGCTTGAGAGTGGAGAAACCTGGAAGACAGCACCTTAACCAAATAATCAAGGTTAACATTACCTTTGATACCTTATGAAGGTTACAACATCACTTCTGAGGTTTTATTTCCAAAAATATGTAACCTCAGTCTAAAAACAAGGAGGCCTCAGACAAATCCAAATTGAAGGATGTTTTCCAGAATAACTGACTGGTACTCTTTAAAACTTTCCAAGTCATGACAGAGACAGAGGAGAAATTATTACAGACTGGAAGAAACTAAGGGGACTTTACTGTTAATGTAATGTGGGAACACTGATTGATTCTATACCAAAGAACATTAATGAGACAATGAAAAAATTTTTAATTATCATTTTATTTTATTCTTTTCATCATGATAGTATACTCTTTAATTCCCATCACCTATTTAACCCATTCCCCCATCACCTCCCTTCTGGTAACCATTACTTGGTTCTATTTCTTGGTTGGGGTCTCTTTTTTTCTTCCTTTGCTCATTTGTTTTGTTTCTTAAATTCCACATGAGTGAAATTATATGGTATTTGTTTCTCTGACTGACTTATTTCACTTAGCCTTATACTCTCTAGATCCATCCATGTCATCGCAAACGGCAAGATTTCATTCTTCTTTATGGCTGAAAAATATTCTATTGTATATACATACCACATCTTTTTAATCCATTTATCAATGAACACGTGGGCTACTTCCATAATTTGGCTATTGTAAATAATACTGCTATAGGGCGCCTTGGTGCCTCAGTTGGTTAAGCGTTTGCCTTCGGCTCAGGTCATAATCCCGGAGTCCCAGGATTGAGTCCTGCATCAGGCTCCCTGCTCGGCAGGGAATCTGCTTCTCCCTCTGCCCCTCACCCCACTCGTGTGCTCTCTCTCTCTCTCAGATAAATAAATTAAAATAAAATAAATAATGCTGCTATAAACATAGGAGTGCAGGTATCTCTGAATTAGTGTTTTTGTATTTTGGGGATAAATACCCAATATTGAGATTACTGGATCATTGGGTAGTTCTATTTTTAATTGTTTGAGGAACCTCCATACTGTTTTACACAATGGCTGCACCAGTTTGCATTCCTACCAACAGTGCAAGAGGGTTCCCTTGTTTTTACATCTTCACCAACACTTATTGTTTCTTGAGTTTTTTATTTTAGCCATCGTGACAGGTGTGAGAAATTTTGATTTGCATTTCTCTGATGATGAGTGATGTTGAGCATGTGTCTGTTTGGCCATCTGTATGTCTTCTTTGGAGAAATGTCTGTTCGTGTCTTCTGCCCACTTTTTAATTGGAATATTTTTAGGGTCTGGAGTTTTATCAGTTCTTTATATATTTTGGATACTAATCCTTTATCGAATGTGTCATTTGCAAATATCTTCTCCCATTCCATAGGTTGCCTTTTAGTTTTGATTGTGAGAATTTTTTAAATTGCATATGTTTCAAATAGTAGTCTACCAATGTTAATTTCCTGAATTAGATTATTATATTATGGTTTAAAAAATCATCTTCTCCTCTTGTAAATAATAATCCATTTAAGCCCACAATACTGCATTAGTCATTTAGAAGTTACCTTGCAGCTGGACAAAGGGGAACCATATCCAATTTTGGAACTAATAGTTTCTTAGTTAAGATGGAGACAAAAATGATTATATATAAAATCAGAAAAACAGCTTAACTAAAAATAATCTTTTGTTATAGTTTTTTCTCAATTCTACAGAATCTCCTAAAATATATAATTAAATTCCCCAGAACTAAATGCATATAAACTTTATTATTTATCAAACAGTGCTGTTTATCATATGTGTTATGGTCAGTTTGTGGCTTTGCATTCTGGTCTGTGGATATGCATGGCCATTCTTACCCTAGTAACAAAAAAGTTGATTTTGAAAATGTCCTTGGTGACCTTGCCCTGGCTCTTCTTCCAGGTAATGTCTGTAGACTCATTTGGCCAAGATGGTCTTTCCCACTGATTAGCCAGAGTTGCTGAGCTTCTGAGATGGACACAGAGCTCATGATTACTGTGTGCCAGAACCTGTGCTAAGACTTCACTTGTGTTGGCTGGCTTAATATTCAAAACACCAAATTGTTTAGATTCTCTTATTTTCCTTAATTTTTTTATAGATAAGAAAAGTGATTCATAGAGAAATTAAGAACTATAATGTTAAAAGACACATGGATAGTAATAATGCTACATACTTGGTACCTAGGTTCCTAACTCCACAGCCTGCTCCCTTGACTACTATTTAAGTGTCTGAGAAGAAGGGTTTACTGCATCATTCCTGCTGACAGAATGGAGACTTTTTTTTTTTTTTTTGCACGTTTTAGGGAGGATTTTGATTTTTTTTTTTTGTCTCAATAATTATGTTCTTATGTTACTTTAGTTTGAAGTTTTTTGTATCCCTGGGAGTTTTGTTCCAGACCAGTATAGTACAATTTAATAATTCTGAAATTTACATTTACCAAAGCATCAATTTAGGAAATAAGAAAATACCCAAAAAGTATTGTTATAGGTTCACCAAGTACTTAACCTCCTTTTATGCACCAAGAGAAAAGGTGGCTAATTTTGTCTTCATCACTTACAGCCATTTTTTCCTGCATCCCAAATGAATGCAATGATCTGAGCCTAAATTTGATTTAGTCATCTCTGTGTTGGCCCATCCAACTCGATGTCACTACTTGCAGATGTAAATTTAACAAATTTGTTATCTCACATACCTAATCTTAGAGAATTGCTGTATCATGAAGTAGTTAACCTGAAGTGTGTCCAGAGAACGAATTGGATTGGGGTATGTTTTGTAAGGAA